AACCCGTGTCCCCTGCATCGGCAGGCGGACTCTCAACCACTGCGCCACCAGGGAAGCCCTCAACAAATATTTATAGAGGGCTTTCAGGTACAGTTCTAGGCACTGGAGAGACAATGATGGGCAAAAAGATATGGCTTCATAGAGTGTGCCGATGTGCCTGGGAGACATACTAAATAATTTCACAAATATAAATTACAAACAATAATTTCAATGAAGAAAAAGTACAGGAGTTCACAGTCTTGTCTGGGGCGTTAGGTAAAGGTTCCACAAGGAAGTGACAGTTTAACTGAGATCTGAGAATGAGTAGGAATGGACTAGGCAAATGGGCTGGGGTGTCAGAGACAAGAGAGGACAAAATCTTCCCACACTGACAGAATGGCATGGGCTGAAGGGAGGATGGCCAGTTGGCTGGAGTGCAGAAAGCAAGGGGAGAGAATAAGAGGAGAAAAGCCTGGAGAGCGCAATGGGGTTACAATGCGGCAGGGCCTTATAGCCATGTTCAGTATCTTGTCTTCATCCCAAGGACAGTGGGAAGGAAACCACTGGAGCATTTTAAGGAGAGTGGTATGATCTGATTTGTAATTGAGAAAATTACTCACAGGGATTCGCTAGCCACATGAGGTGGCCCTGAGGGTTAGCAGGTAAAGTTGTGGTCCCAGGAGACATGAGGGTAGGGTTGGGGTGTTGGCCCTCCTCTATATGCTTGTTCCTTGACTTTTTTACTGTCCTGAGTAAAAAGAATCCTGCCCAGGCTCATGTGGGCAGTATGTTCTCAGCAGAAAATGATCCTGCGAAAGGCCCAGAGGGGGGATGAAGATTAGGTTAGTTCCAGTGTCGGCCTTTAGTAGGGGATCCGGACCTGATACGTGGAAAGGAGATTAAGACTGCCCTTCTTTAAGCTCCACTTTTGCCATCTCCATTTCCCTTGCTCTAAGCCAAGTTGATTAAGCCCCCATCCCATCTTTACCCAGGGAAGAGCCCAGAACACCTGCTGCGGGTGTAGGATCCTCCCTGCTCTGCTGGCTTCCAGAATTTCATGGTGGGGGTACCCTGAGCCACCCACCTGGCGGTGGACGGCAAGGTGAAAGGGGGCTATAAGGAGGGACATAGCCGTGCCCATCACTGATTCTGAAGACCTTGAGCTCAGATCTGAATGTGTGACCTTGGGCAAATCACTTCCTCTCCTGGGGCCTTGTTCCAGCATCTGCAAAGGGTCGCCCCAAGTCCCCTCCAGCTGCGAGCGGGCCTCTAAATCCCCGCAGGCTGGATGCTTGCTCCCGGCACTACGCCAAGCCCCCGGGTGGGCGTGGGGCGGGGGCGAGCCAATGCCGAATCTCAAAGGTTAGGGGGGGTTGCTCAGGAGCGGGGTGGAGACCGCGGGGCGGCGCCGGGGGGACGCCGCACACACGGCGGCGCTCCCAGCCCCTCGGCTGGGCGCCGGCTCCGGGGGCCAAGAGGTTACGTAAGGAGCCGGGCGGCGGGAGCGGGGCGGGGCGGATACCGCCCGAGCGCAGCAGCCCAGCCCCCGGCGACCAAGACCCCGCCCGCCCGCGCCTGGTGGCGGCGGCGGCGGCGGCGGCGGCGGCGGCGGCGGCAGCAGCGGCGGCAGGCGCGCAGCCCCGCGGAATGGAGCGGCGCCGGGGCTGAGCCGGGCGCGCACGGGCTGCCGCATGTGCCGCGCGGGGAGCGGCTGCAGAGCGGGCGGAGAGCGAACACGAGAGGCCCCGTCGGAGCGGCAGCAGGAGCAGCGCCGGAGATGGGGTGAGTGAGACCGCGCCGCGCGCAACCCCAGAGGGGCTGCGGGTCCGCGGCTCGCGTCTCCCGGGCTCGGAGCCCCGAGAGCGAGCGCGCCCCTACACCCCGCGCCGGGACCCTGGAGCCAGCGAGCAGTCGGCTTCTGAGAGCCTGAGGCCGCCTGACTCCGCGCCCTCCGGCCCGGCGCGCGGACACCGGCCAGGGGCACCCCGGCCTGGGCGCGGACTTTCAGCTCCGCGCCCGTGGCCTTTCCCCTCCCAGGCAGCCCGGGCGCGGGGGCACCGGGCGGGGACAAGCACCCTGGCCGGCCTCCGTGCTTCGGCCATTCAGTGGTCCCCTCGCTCCGGGCGCGATCAACTCCAGGGCCTATGTTTTGGAGTCTAAGAAGCAGTTAGTCTTTCTGCACGATTGGGTTTATTACAAACAAAATGAAAATCGAAGTTTTCCTGGAAAGGGAACACACCAAATAATAATAATCCCCATTGTAGTAATAGTGGACTTTGAGTCTGCTTTGAGATGACTGAGGATGTGTAGGTAAGGCTTCAGTCTTTGAAACAACTGAGTTGATGCTCAGGGGAGAAGTTGAAGTACTCTGTCGAAGTGACTAATGCTTCTGAGTATATAAAGTAATTTAAAAAGCAGAATTGATTTCTCCTTGGCGTCTCTCTGAGCAGTAGGCGCTGTGAGTCAGGCAGCCGCTGTGCTAATAACAAAATTAACTCCTTACATCTACTTACCCGATGTAAGCCCATATTGATGATGTGCTGTGCACACTCAGGGAACGGTTGCTATTCCCATTGTACAGATAAGGAAACTGAGGCCTGAAGTGGTGGGGTGATTTCTCCCAGGTTGGGCAGGCAGCTGATGAGTGTTTGTAGAAGGACGCTGAGCGCATCGGCAGAGGGGAAGCCACAGCCTGACTGTGGGCTTGGGAGTGGGGGGTGGGTAAGTGAGCCAGAGTTCCTGAGTCTCTGTGTCCCCTGCTGCTAAGCTTAGCGGCCTTCAAACAGCTTCTCAAGACCCAAAGACTTCTGCTGGGTGGGTCTAGAGAGCTTGCTTTCCTGTATGGGATTGGTGAGGAGTGGAAAGGGAAAGGATTGTCCTGGTGGCCTGACCCAGCTCTCATGGGTCAGTGGCTTTGTTGCACCTTACTCCTTACTTTACTCCAAGTAAGTTTCTGGAGTAATTTTACCGAGTGAATTTTATCTGTGTGGTCTGTAAAGTGTTTGGAGGAAACAGAGGGAGGTCAAGAGGAATTTTGAGAAGGGAAGTGTGAGAACTCCAGACCAGCATGAGCAGGTCAGTGGGGACAGAGAGGGGCCAGGAGATTTGCTCAAGACATTGGTGCGGATCCAGATTTCACACATACAGAAGGTGTGAGTGATTCTACCAGAGGCACCCTGGCTGGGAAACAGTTTTTCTGTAACATTTCCAGTGACCTCTTGGTCAGTGATGAAAGGGCTGCTCTTTGTGCAGTGGGAAGCTTTGAGGCTCTCAGATTTCATACTTAAAAAAAAAAAAGTATGGGAAGAAGGAGTTCGCAAATGTAGGTCTCAAGATGGAAGATAAAAGGGATCTGGGTAATTTTAACACTCTCTCTCCCCCCTCCCCCCAGCCAACACAAAACCAACCCAACACACTTGCATGATCAAAAACAAATATTTAAGTTCTGCGGTTGAGATCAAATAGTTCTGTGGAAATGAAAATGTTTACTCATAAAAGCTTAAAGAAAATGTCAGAAAATAATTTTTGTTTGTAGAGAAGCAGGGAGGAGTAGCTTGGAGATTTTGTTTAAACATTGAATATGCCTTTCATGTAATTTTAACATCATCTGATAAATATCTGTTACTCACTTCTTGTAGGTAATGGTTGGTTTGTAACTCCTACCTACTTCTGCCATTTTAATATATCTACCTCTTCTATAATTTATTTGAACGTACAAACCATGGCTGTAAGTTGAGATGGAGCTAAGGGCTGGGTAAGCAGTACAGACAGAGGAGGGTGGAGGGAGCCATTTTAACCGAAAATAGAACCAATGTCATCCTTTCTGAGAGTTGAGTAGGATGGAGGGGGATGAACCAAGAAAGGGCAGCCAGTAGAAAGTCTTGCTGTGATCCTACAGCTTTGTCATGGCTCTACTGTCTAGACATGACCAAGATTTAAGGGAAAAAACCAAAAAAACCCTGAGTTTATCTCTTCCCCACTTAAGATGCTTTTCCTCATTCAGATGTTCACGGCTATTTCCCGCTTCTCTTCTGAGAAGTATTTTGCATTAAGTGTGTGGTTTCCCTAGTAGTTTGTGTTCTCACTCCCCAAGGAAGCTGCTTCATACCTTCTCCCCTTCTCAGACCTCTCTCTCCTCCCCATGCACACCTTGCATCCCTTTTCATTGACAAAATAGAGCCACAGTCCAAGGAAAAGCCTCATCTTCCTACCACGCCTACAGTCCTGTGTGCAGCTGCTCCTGTGTTTTCCTTCCCACCTGTTGTCCTACCAGAGGCTCAACCCTCCTGGCGGACCATTCATCCCATCCCCTTTCACCTTGTCAGGGAACATTTCTTGTTCTCTCACCTTCCTCTCTCTCCAGGGTCTTTCGCATCAGTGCACAAACATGTTTCAGTTCAGTGCTGTCCAGTAGAACTTTCCACACTGATGGAAACATTCTGTATCTGCATGGTCCAGTACCGCCGCCACCAGCCACATGTGGCTCTGGGGCACTTGAAATGTGTCTAGTGCGACTGAGGACCTGAATTTTTAATTCAAGTTTAAATAGCCACAAGCGGCTAGTGCTCGCCATATCGGACAGCACAGCTTTAGCATCTCTCGTTTTACATCCCTGTCCTTCTGTTCCACTTCTTTGCACCCCTTCACCTGAAAACATCTCAAAAGAGATGTCCAAACCCACTGTCTCCATTCATTTCCTTCACCTACCATTTGTTAGCCCTTCACAGTCTACAGTCTGGCTTCTGTCCCCACCTCTTCACCAGAACTGTTGGGTGGCTGATGACCTTGTCCTTGTCTTCCTCCCCTTCTCAGCAGCCTTCCTCCCCCATGGCCACTCCCTCCCCCTTCCCACCACACTCTCCTGGGTTTCCTCTTCCCTTCCTGACGGCTCCTCTTCAGTCTCGCTGCTGGTTGCTCCTCTTTCTGACCTCAGTGTGATGGGGTGGGTTGTTTAGGAACTCGTCCTGGTTCCTCTTTGCTGTCAACACTCTTCCTAGGTAATGTTATCCCATCCCAACCCCATCCCCCCATGGCTTTTTTAAATTTTTAAATTTTTAAATTTTTAAATTTTTTATTTATTTATTTTGCGGTACGCAGGCCTCTCACTGCTGTGGCCTCTCCTGTTGCGGAGCACAGGCCCCGGACGCGCAGGCTCAGCGGCCACGGCTCATGGGCCCAGCCGCTCCGCGGCATGTGGGATCTTCCCGGACCGGGGC